GCATTGGTAAAATGTAGTATTTTTTTAAAATCCATGCAACACTTACAGCATCAGCAGCTGGAAATATCAGAACTCTGAGCCAGTTTAGATGCAAATATGTTAGCCTGGAATTATTTATGGTGGTTCCTTTTATACACTCTTGTCTACTTCTTCCCCAACTACTTTATTATGAACAGGGCATCTGCACACATCTGTTGCTTTGACAAGGAGTCTTAATTAAACCCACAAAGGTGAAATCTCCTGCCATGTGCCATCTAATTATCATAAATTAGTATTTATGACAGAACAGACACTTATTGTCATGGTTCTTTGTGTAATAATAAAATAGCCTGATTGCTCCCTAAATGATAGAAAATAATATCTCTGGTTTCTCTTAACTTTACTGTAAAATCCTGTGAGTTTCTTGCAGACCTCTAGGTGCTGCTGGTGGTCCAAATGGTTCAGAGTTCATAGTTTCTGGACTAAACAGCGTTGGTGTGAATGTTGATATACATTTTGTTCTCAGACAAATCCTCTCAAACAATCTCTGGACTCTACAGATGTGGCAGTAATCAGGTGATTTTTCTTTAGGTAGTTTTTGCATATTCTTGAATGTTAGCTATTCCACATTAGCAGCTCTGATTATATCCTTCAGAGAGCATCGGCTTGAACAGCATAAAGGCCATTCGAACATTGCCTTTCTTGTTTGGAGCTTTTTTCCTCCAACGTGCCAGATTTTGGTTTAAAGTTAACAAAACATTTAGATGAGTAAAGTGGGCAGAAAGAAAACATTTCTGACCTTCACTACTGCTGCTACTTATGAAATAAAGCACTTCCTATTCCCTTTCTCAGAGTTAGTCCTTGTTGACTGACAAACATAAAATGAATAAAAAGAGTGGAAATAAATCACAAACACTTTGTGATTTACTTTAAATCATGGAAAAGTCCTTGCAACCTGTAGAAAATCATGAATATAAAATCCAAAGACAACCCAAGTGTAAGCATTGGGTTGTCTTTGGGTTGATGCATAGCATCTGCTTTTCTTTTGCCAATGGAAAATAAAGGTTTAAAAACAGTAGGTGAAAAAATAATGTATCATTCTCAGTGAGCCACCCACACATCCACGTCTGCAGAGTGAGAGCGAAACCTGGAGATTGATAGTTGACTTAATATAGTGTGCTTTAGACAAAGACGGATGGAGTTCAAATTGGAGACGGATGTACAGTCTGAGCCAAAATCAATAATAAAGACTTTCATTTTCAAACAAGGTGAAGCACCTGCAGTTGATGTATAGACTTAGAGGTGATGTACAGACCCGGACCTCAAACGTCCATCAGAAAGACGGCGAACCTGACCTGCCGACAACACATGATGAATGCCTGGCAAGGCCAATGCTACACTCAGGCCATTCTGCTAATCGGATCACAGCCAAGGGAGAGCAGGAGTAAACAAATAGTCTGCAGCAGACATGGTTTCTGATGGTGTTCTGGATAAATGTTTACATCACCTTCATTGCGTAATTCCTGTAGGAAAACATTTCAAATTGAAAATATTGTGCATTAAAACGTTGGCTACGATGGATAAAGTGGTCGTTTAGAAAATAAATAAAAACATTTTCCCCTTTTTCTAATTCCAAAAACATTAAAAAGTACTTCTCCTTTATCAGACTGCCCTCCCCTGTGTACTGTATGAATCGTGAAGTTTATGGGAGCAGAAACAATCATGTCAGGGCTCTTCTGTTTAAGTCTCTTTGTCTCAGGGAAGCTTTCTGCAGAGGAATTACATCCTGGATTGTTCTCCAGAATGAAGCTGTCACTGCCATTAAGGCTTAACCAGACTCAGATGTGAAGGCAGGGAAATGTTCAGTTGAACTTTGACCATGCAGCCCACCAGAAAATTGGTGCAATGAACAGAATCGACATGTTTACATCTCTGAAATAGAAGATGTCTGAATTCCATAATGTAAACATTTCTAATCAATACATTGTTTGCTGGCAGAAAGACTCTGACCATATGCTACTGTTATTCACTCGACCCAGAACATCAACGGTCTTTATTAACTGCAGCTGTTTGTCTCACTCGTGTAATGTGCTTTATTATAGATGTATACATTCTAGAATGTATACATTGGGAGATAATTAAATATGAAATTATAAAAACTTGAATAAATAGAGAAAGTAGATTTAAAATGATGATTCAATTTATTAGAAAGGAAATATGATTCAAACCACAAGGCTGATCACAGGCTTGTGGTTAGGAGAAGGGATTTATTGTATTATCCACCATTTATTGTGCTAAACTTATTATCCTGACAATAGTTTTTGATCATGTAGGGGATTTTATTTTCTCCACTGTTTGTTTAATTAATCAACTAATAATAGAATAGAATAGAACAGAATTCAACTAAATATCAATACATTAAAGGCATGATATAAATCAGTTTTTTTTGTGACTGTTGACCTAAAGGAGGATATTGGCACCAAATAGGAATGTTTTTCAAGAGCAGTTTTGTATTTGTGGTGCAATAATTGCTGTGACACACATGGACCTTACCAACATGCCCACAACCAGCCTAGAAAATCTCACATGGCTGCAAGTCTCACAAACAAAGCCTCTCTGCGCTTTGTTTCTAAGGAAACATGGACTGATAGAGCATTTCTGAGTTGATTGGAGCATCATTTCTGCTGGATTTTCACCAAATATCAGCTACAACAATGGAGAGAGGAACTGACAAGTTCATGTCATCTTTTTTGGATGCCATCAAGGTGTTTGAGCCACGAGATGCCTCCATCATTATGCACAATGAGGAAAACATAGCATCAATATAGCTGGTGCCTGTTGTTCTTGCAAGGATGGTTAAGTCGGGAATTCATCGCTTCGTAGGTTATTTTTGAAATCAGTGGGTGATTCCTGTGGTTTGTTGGCAAATGTTTGAGTGTGCATCAGCCACTGTACTCGGTGCTAGCGTGGCTAACACGAGTAACAGTTTACTCTGAAGCCTTTTCTGCTAAAATAGAATATTTAGGTATTGTTTAGGTATGTAGCAGACAGGCTTCTATGTGTAGAATTAGTATCAGACCTGCCGTTATGCTGTACTTAGCTACCAGGTGTTCATGATGGATGTGTTTATTATTGATTCTCTTTTTTCAGACAGAGAAAGCAAATCAATAATACTTACACCAGCACACACTCCTTTGTTCTTGTTGATCCTACCAAAACACAAAATCTTGGCCAAGCTTCTGGTGCAAATATCTTAAACACTTGAAATAAGACAAAACTAACTTTTCAACAAAATATAGGAGCTTGTCAATAATTTCTTGATGAAAAAGTACTAGTTCTGTTTCACTTCCGATATAGAAAAAATTATTGCTGGTTGAACTAACTCTTAAAAAAAATCCTATTTCTTAGTGAAAAGTTACTTGTAAGTTATTTAAAGTTTAATAACATATTAGGGCTGTTGTAAACGAATATTTTTGTAATCGAGTCATCATTGGAAATATTTTCTTATTGGTTGAATCTAACCGTAAAACTTAGGAATGTTTTTTTTTTTTTAAATATTAACTCTATTGAACTGAATTTGCAAAACTTTTTTATTTACAGTTATAAAACTGTAAAAACTGAAGAGATTTATTTTTCAAATCTCTCAAGTCTAACATTTATTTTTTAATGTTATTAAATTTATCCTTATTCATACATTTTCTAATCTTTGGAGTATTCTATTTTCATTTATTTTCTATAACTCTATAAAAGCAAAATTCCAGTGGTTTAATCCATTATGCACGTTACGACAACCTGAAGTACTGCCAAAAAGTTTGTTTTTTGATTACCTCAATAAACGTATTTTAATCTTTATGACCTTCAATTTGAACAAAAAAAACAAGAGAAATGCCAGTAAACATAGAATATAACAATTAAGATGCAACAATGCAACACTCCACGATGAGCTCTCCTGCTGCATGAACACTTTAAATAGTTGGAATTATGTATGTTGCTTGCTTTTTGCATGAGACATGCAATACAATGGCTGCTGACACAGCGTGACTTTCACTGATACTCCCTACGCAGCACATTGGTGTGATGCTAAATTCCAGCTGGTGAAATAGTGTGGTCAAGGGTCTACAAGGTGAACAACAAACAGCAACAGCCACTGTCTTCAGAGTCTTCAGATGACTTTCATTGACACCTTTGCCTCAGAGATTCCAAAACTCAATGTTTTTATGGCCAATTGGCAACGCACCTGCAGCTGAGTGGACCAAACCACAATTAAACAGGAAAAAAGAAGACAATAAAAACAAAATCTAACAGAAAAACAACATTACAAACTCATCTACATAATGAAATAGTCTGAAAAATAAACCATGTAGTGGAAGATAACTCAAAAAGTTACTTTAAGGAAAAACAAAGCAATCCTTTATAGAAAACCCTCTAATTGGGAGAACCCAGCAAGGTAATTAATGACATCATCCAGACATTCAAGCAGGAAACACTGGGCCGGCCCCTCCCATAGTTCTGCTGCAGATCGACAAGGGATAAACAATGATGAGTAAAAAGGAAACCAAATGCCATGAATATACTTTGAAACAAACGAATTCAACCAATAATCCAGAAGTAAACATTTGAACCTAAACATATAAATAGATGGAAACTACAACATAACACAAACAAACCCGGGATAGTAAGTGAAGCAAAGTTGCAAAGTAATGTTTAAATGTATGCATTATGACCAACTAAAGAAGGCAAGTTAATCAGAAATAAGAATAAGGGACAAATGGTGAATACAAACTGCACCACTTTGTCACACAGATAAGGACAAAACAGGAACCAAGTGTAGCCGCAATAAAAGACACTTTCTAAGAACCGAACTTGCTTTTGACTTGTTATATGTGTGAAGATTTACATTATTATTACATGATTGTTTATTAAATAAAATAAAAAACCTTGCAACTTTAAATTGCTTTTGTAATCGCTTGTATTGAAACTATTTACATGCATTCAGAGATGTTCATTGTATGTTGGTGAGGGGCGTCTGGAAAAACATCCTTTTCTCCTACTCAGACATGACATAGCCTCTTTCTTCTGCAGTTATGCCGATGGACTGCCTGATGTGCCATTTGAACAAAACTCTTTCCACAATAGATGGTCTCTCTCCAGTGTGGATGTGTTGATGTTGTGTCAGATCACTTTTTCTGGTGAATCTCTTCTCACATTTATCACAGCTGTATGGTCTCTCTCCAGTGTGGATGTGTTGATGTTGTGTCAGGTTGCTTTTTCTGGTGAATCTCTTCTCACATTTACCACAGCTGTATGGCCTCTCTCCAGTGTGGATGTGTTGATGTTGTGTCAGATCACTTTTTCTGGTGAATCTCTTCTCACATTTATCACAGCTGTATGGTCTCTCTCCAGTGTGGATGAGTTGATGTTGTGTCAGGTTGCTTTTTCTGGTGAATCTCTTCTCACATTTACCACAGCTGTATGGCCTCTCTCCAGTGTGGATGTGTTGATGTTGTGTCAGATCACTTTTTCTGGTGAATCTCTTCTCACATTTATCACAGCTGTATGGTCTCTCTCCAGTGTGGATGAGTTGATGTTGTGTCAGGTTGCTTTTTCTGGTGAATCTCTTCTCACATTTATCACAGCTGTATGGTCTCTCTCCAGTGTGGATGTGTTGATGGACTTTACTCACACACTCATCATGAATTTTGTTCCAGTTGATGGTGCTATGGATCTGTGGGACCAAATCATTGGAGACAGTGAAGGAAATATAAAAAAATGACATCATAATTATACAAGACAGCGTGAAAGATTTGCCATAACATCTTGGCGCGGGGGAAACAAAGCTCTTTCAAAACATACATTCTGCTTTTACATAGAAAGCTAAAAGAACACACCCAGTCTTGTTTTGGTTGAGAGAAATTTAGTCCAGATTTAGAAACTATGAACATATTTGACGAGATCCAATGAGCAAATTTGCAATCATAGATGGATGGATGGATCATCTCCATAAACATAGATGGATGGATTTATGTATCTGAGATCTGTGTTAAATATTAGTATTTAAGGGCCCTAGAGGCCCCACAGGGCCTGTTAGAGCTGCTGACTTTTTTGTTTTTTTTATTTGTTTTTTTTTTTCCAAGACTAGTTGTGGGTTAAATAGCCTTTCAGTGGCTTTTTTCTGCAACATATTTTTACATTCTATTTTTACGTTTCCTCTCTATTTAAGATCTTTTAACACAAAAACACAGAGGACCGCCTCGGCGCCCCGACCACCGGGCTTAGCAAGTTTTCTGGGGGAATCTGTGTTTGCACACTATAAAAGATAGACGTTTCCTTCAGACTTAAGCAGGAGATCAAAATACAACAATTTAACAAATAGCAATTAAATAGGTTAGAACAGCAGATCAGTATGTAGAGATGGATGTAAAGAATTTCTAAAGGACACGTACATTTTGAAAGTACAGAGAAAACTGCATTGTGTGTATTTTCTGTAAGTAAACTTAAACTACCAGTTTACATCATCAGTGTGAACTCAAGTCAAAAGAGTCAAAAGGACTCACCTCTGGTAAAGATGTCGCTGAGCCGCTCATGTGGCTCTTGTCATCCTCCTCAACGTCCTCCATTTGTGATCCTCCTCTGGTTGAAGCACAACAAAGCAACACAATCAGAGAGAGGATTGTCACAGAGGATTTAAAAACAGGTTTTGTTTTGAAAAGTCAACATATTTGGTTTGACTGAAAAAGGAGAAAAAAACAAAATTCAAAACATAGAAGCAAAAGTGAAATTCAACATGCGCCCTGTAATGTGATTAATCAACTTTAATTGCACAGCTACATGATTACTAATATTTTTAAAACACAAAGCTACTCCCAGATATTTTCTGCTCTAAACTACAGAAAACAAACTCACCGTTCAGCAGTGACGGATGTCCAAAACGTTGTTTGTTTTGATTTGATCAGGCTGACTGATGCTTTTGGTTTCCTTGGCAACTAATCACAAGTACAGTTTAAAAGATTTAAATTCTGAAAGTATTTTAGACACAAAAAAGGAATCGGAATTGGTTTTATTCCAGGTTCTATAAACTTGAATTTAGTTCCACTTTGCTCGACATTTTAAATATAAATGTATAAAAAGCAAGAATAAATAATTATTTTGTAAATATGTATAACCACAATGTTTTTATAGTGCATATTCAAATTAACTTAAAAAATAATTTATTAATCCAAAAGGGAAATTAAAGTACGTTGTAACCCATTAATTGAAATTCTTCCGAGTTTCTGTAGATGATGATGCCTGTTGGCAGGAAATATCTCCTGTAGCAGTCTGTATTACAGTCAATTTGAAGAACCCTCTGACTGAAGACACTGTCCAGGTATGTTTTTGATGACGGAATAGCATTATAACACGATTTAAATCTCCTAAAAGTTCATTTAGCTTTAAACCAAATAACTAACACTGTGCTCAACACTGGCTTCCACGATCTCCATCCATATCACAGAATTGACCAAAAACAAAGTAGCATTTGATCTTTACAATAAAAAATATATTTATTTTTATATTTGAATCATTTCTCTATTCTGGTTGAGCTAGGCTCACATTTCTTGCACTACAACTGTGCATTAATCTGAATTAATTGCCAATTTTCAATTCAATGTTCAATGGGTTAAGGAGCAAAATATGTAAAAAAAGAAAAAAGAAAAGAAAATGTATTTTTCAGAAATACAATTTAACACAACATTAATCCAAAATATGAGAAGAATCCAACTACTTATTCACAGCTCTGTAAATCTTTGTTAAAAGATACATGCGGGTTAAACCAGATTAATGAGATAATGTCTGACTCAGGTACAATTTAATGAATGTGCAGAGCTTTGACCTCAGGATCTGCAACCTCTACCATCCCTAACAACTCTGGGTCCTTGAATTATATTTTAGAGCCTGCTTTAATTTTCTGTACAGGAAATTTGTCTCCAATTCATGCATACATTCATTCAAGTTCATCTGTGACCTTCATTGTTTGCAGGGATTTAGTTTAATAACCTCTTCATTATTATTTTTTGTACTGCAGGGATTTGTTGTTTGAATTTTAACATGCAGAGGTTAAAAGATAAACACAAGTTTAAAGATTAATTACAAAAAAAGGAAAATGTTGTATTAGAGTGTTTAGAAATCAGATTATTTAGCTGCACATTTGATTATGTTGTATTCACACCAGTCCTGTTTAGTCCGTTTTAATCAAACTCCAGTTTATTTCTCTAGAACGTCCAGCTTGTTTGGGAGTTGAATCTAAAAAAACGAATCCTCAGGAGCGTTGCTAGCATTAACGGCTAGTAGGAAATGTCCAAATTAGTAATGAATACTAAATCATACAACCCCTAAGATCGGACCCGGATTCATTTTTGTTCACATTAGTGAAGCAGAAAGTTGCTGTGGTTTTCTTCAGAGGTATAAGTTGATTCCCTTGGAGCAGCGCCTCCACAGGTGAGGAGGGGAACAGCTGTTTCTGTGAGTTTGGATCGTTTTTTATGCAGTGTGAATGTGAACCCAAACCAGATGTTGCAAGTTTAGTACCAGACTATCAGGTGTGAAAACACCTGTAAACAGCACAAAGCAGACTGAAGCTCCTCTTCAAAATAACTAATTATCGACTCTAACTTGTGAAAAAAAAAATACTTGAGACTTGTTTTTATTAATCGGATGAGTCGTCAAAGACTCGTGTTTCACTAAAGAGACAACCTTCTCAGTCCAAAGATTTTTTATTGATTTAATTCAGTATTTTAGCGCCATGCAACAGAAACGTTATGAAACAATTTTATGTAGAAATGAGGTCTCTGGATCAACTGTTGCAGATGAAAAACAAGATTTACGCCATTCTTGAATTGTTGTCTGGGGTTGTAAGAGTCTGAAGGCCAAAGCTGTTTTGTGTCTCCATGTTTGTTGCAGCTTCATCTGTCGTCCTGAGCACCTGGAGAGACAGAAAATTTGTTAAAATGATGAAAACTGTGTTCCGACATGATCCGTTCTGTTGTGGGCTTGAATCCCTGCGGAGACAATAAAATATCTTTTTATGTTCTGTAAGTCATTTACAGTTTTGTGCATTTTGGGAAGCGACTCAGACAATCAGAAGCGGTTCAGCGGCGTCCTACGGAGCAGAGAAATGGCACCTTGAGGACGTTTCTCTCTAATTGCAAACGCTTTTTGCCAGCAGGTAGGTTAAGTGCTGCCAGCTGCATTTAACTACCAGCGGTGGCGGCGAATAGCTTCTTGAGGATGTTTCACACTTTTACGTGAATTACATATTTTGTGTTAAAGTGCTTCTAAAATCCAGAGACAGACATTTGTGATGTGAAAACATCATTTGAGGAGAAATATTTCTGAATGATGGTGTTCCTAAAAGTAGGTTCATTTCCATTTGTCACACACAAATTGATCAATATTTATAATAGCGGCTTCTCTGAACTTGGAATATTATGTTTGGCCAGTAAAAACAAATTTTAATGGCAAAATGTGGACCTGCTGATGCAGTTAGTACATGGTTTTTCTTCTTTTGTGTGAATTTCTGCATCAATGCAGTGTGTGAGGATTTCAAGCCCAGCTTGGTTTAGCTTCTCTGCTTTGGTTCTGGTCTCTCTTATGTTGTTCTTCTATGGTTTTCACAGGTTAATGTGCAACTATGGTCATGAAACCTGTTATTTACACTTATTTTCTCCATAACTAGCAAAAAAGGTCCCTCTTGTTTCTTTCTTACTTTCTCTGAATATCTTTGGAACGACATTCCCTGGATTGTGTAGCTTATAATAAAACAAAGTATGTCTTATTGCTCTTGCATTATGTCCTTTAAGGTTTTATCACCTGAAAGAGATGAGGAGAAAATTGATGTTGGTGTGCACTAGCTCTTGGGTAAAATGCTTTATTTTTTATACAATTCAAACTATCTGATGAACCCACTTTGTTCCTCATCTTTGCTTAGGGAGCAAAATTGTAACATTTGATACATTTTCTGCTCCACTATGTCAACAGAACCAAACCATTTGGAAAAACATGTTCCCTTCCTCGCCTGTGGGGGCGCTGCCCCAAGAACCACCAAAGGAAAGGACAAAATCTCTGAAGAAGAAGATGACTGCAACTTCCTTTTTCACAAAATCAAAAATGGAGTGGCGTCAGTTTAAAACACGAGTCATTTCTCCTGTTAGCGCTGTGCCATCACCATTGTTTTGGTTGCATTTACCCAGAATTCCTTGCACAGTAGTCCACGTCCTGCTTTTGAAACGGTCTCCGGTCTCCTTCCTGTTTACATATGGATTTGAACTGAACCAGAGTTCACTGGAACCGAACTGAGACGGAGGTTTCTAGGTGAACTAGAAGCTAGCCTCCACATCTCTCCAAACAAACTTTATTTCACTTTATTAAAAAAATGAACTAGATTACACCCTAGAAGTTGCCAACTTTTCAGATCTCTCCAGCAACAATCTCCATCCATTTGGTTCTTCAGACTGGAATTGGCTAAAATGGTTGTGCTCACATAATATGTCTTTGTAAAGTATTGAGCGAATGTATTTAAGGTGAGTCGTTTCCCGGAAGCCTCCATAATGCAGCCTAACGCGTTCAGCCTCTCATCCCAGTTCAGAAGCGCCGACTCTCTCATATCAATCTGACCTCGGTGTAATAGAGTTCACCGTCGGCCTCTCTGTGGACCAGCCGTTTCTCCCAACAAATCTCTTTAGCTGCATGTTTCCACGCAGTCCCCTCACTGCGGGTCAGAGGTCAACGATGAAACTGTGAGTAAAACACGTTCCTCTCCTCCCTGGACTTTGGTCGTTCTCTGTCGTATCTCGGCGCACCGCGGAGTCGCCGACCTCCGTCTGCCTCATGCTGGGGTGAGTAACCAGGGCGTCCCGCTCTGATGTGTTTTACTTAGGCGATGCTTCACCTCCACAGCTTCCAGCAATGAAGGAGCTGCTGAACCAAAACCTGCAGGGAAACCATCAAGTCTGTAGGGAGAGAAAATCTGATCTGAAACACAAACTTTCTTTTATTATTCAGCCTTTTTTGAAGAAGTTTTAGTCTCCTGTGAAAACCAAATATCTAGAATTTAGTGACCTCAGTGGTAAAGCTGCAGATTGCATAAAAGTTGCTTTTGATTTGTGTTTTCAATTATTCTGTAAAATTGCTATATTTTTTTACAGTCTGCTACTGAAAGATGATTTTAAATTATATTCAAAACGCTTTACAGGAGTACAACTGTATGAAGGATTCAAAATAAAACATAAAAATACTCAAAAAGTGAAGATTTAGACATTAAAAGCGATTTTAAACAGGTAAAGTTTAAAATGAGCCAAAATGAAGTTTATGTTTAATATGGGACCTGCTGCCATAGCGACAGTAAAGTTTTAAAAAATGGGCAGATCATGTCGTTGTATGTCAAACTTGGTTAATTTTTATCTCAAATGAAATTCAGAAGGTCTGCTGACAAACTACTCTGAAAGATTGCAAGAAAGTTGAGTGGAAGGAAGAACCGGGGTGACAAATAATAATTCAGAGAAAACATTTCCAAATCATTCTTACTCACAACCACAGGAGGGTAAAGTACTCAAATATTGTAATTGGTCTTCAGGTATTAATCTTCCAATGTTTCAACAACACAATCATCAAGGGATATATAAAAATTTTAGACATTTTTGAACTCAAAAACACGACGGGGTGAATGACTGCTCTAGCATCCAAACACCAGGCTTAGCAAGTTTTCTCGGGTGTAACAAAATCAGCCAAAAAATTTGTTTTCCAAGTAAAAAACTCATGAAACTTTAACCAAAAACTTTCTGTCTGGTGAGTATTTGGTTAAGATATGTTAGTTTTTCCCTCAGTGTATAAAAATGTAGAAATGTCCTCATAATAAAACTACTAAAGAATTGTAAAAAGAATCCTAAAATTAAATATTTTCTAAAAAGTTACA